ACATCGAGTCTTTTTCTGTGTTTAATTTTAATTTGAAGCAAACTCGAAAAGCCTAATTCAGTCTTACGAATTTCAAATGTGAAGGCTGACGTGACGGAATGAGAGCCACCACCATCGGGGAAATGTCTTCGTCCAAACTGAGCAAATGCACTCTCATTTCTCAGAGTACGTTTTATTTCATTCTCTTCCAGACGACCAAAAAGAAGGCATGTCTTCTTTTCACTGAGCTCAAATGTCCATAAAATCAGTTTCATTCCGAAATATCTTTCACGGATGAACAAATCCTCAAACCCCGTTTCCTGTCTTCTTGTGAAACAAATTCTTCTCACCTCTTCATGCAAGTTATACACACATTTTAAAACCTTTCAACAATTTTAACTCCTGTACAAAGTGGCATTTCTCTTTGCTCGGTGCAAACTGTCGAATTCCAAAGCACTGGATTTTAATTTCACGGAATTAACTGCTCGAATGACAAGAGACAAGCGCGGAAAAGGTGTTTTCGACCTCTATATAAAAATCTTAAGACCACATCAGCAACGTTACATTTTTAGGCCAGATGACTTTTCCCCATTCCATGTCTCTGTAATCCAGCGTGAAATTTCAACAAGTTTGCAAAGCAAAGCCAAAAACGGAATCATTTTACGCAAATATCCGTAATTTTTACGCTTGGGACGACTTTTGATTTCAAGAAACGTCTGTATAACAAAATATCGTACGACATATCAAATTCTTCGCCTAACTTTTGTCAACCGACAGAGCGGCTTCAATCTGATTAACAGATCACTTCTTATCGGGACGCTTACAACATTTTTTAGCGCAGAGAATTGTAAAATTCTGCGCTATTTTCTTCAGATTTTTTTGGCGTTTGAAATTCTTTTCGAAACTATAAACACGACATTTCACAGGCAACATTTTTTTTGTGGGTCCAAGGTTTTAGGCGTACTTTTCGTCAGCTTTTTTTATTTCTAAACAAGAAATGTTTATCGCTATCAGCCAGTCGTCCATGTTTTGTTTTTTTATCCGTAATGACTATTTTATTTTATTTGTAGTGTTCTGTCTGACGACAGGTCCATATGAACAGGATCCTTCCATCCTTTTCTCGGACTGGGACCTGTTCATATACGTTCTTGGCAGATGATCCAGAAGTGGGTTGCCATTGCCTTCTTCTGTGTGTGAATGGAGTAATTGTTGGGATGCCACGGAGGAAAACTCCGTGTTGCCTAGACCACGGCCTTGCCCAACACAAGTTATAAATTCGGGCACCGCCGGGAATCGAACCCGAGACCCCAGGATTACAAGGCCAGCGTTCTGACCGCTAGACCACCGTGGCGAACCCCGTAATGACTACTTGAACCTTGAACAACGCATCATATATAATTACTGATGCAAACTCATATTTAATGACGATTCGTGATACTTTCTTTTAAAAGACAAAACACAACAGCGACGTCACTGAACCAGACTTTGAGCGAACTGGGAAACTCAGTGTTGCCGAATGAGCGAGATACGTTTATTCCAAATTATAATTCCTTTACTGTGAGTTGACATTTGGCAGAAATTAAATCGTAATCCAACCCCCAACATCAACAAATGATACGTCGTCATAGCAACGCAAGGGAAAATCGTGTACATTACAGATTATTTTGTTCGTGCCAGAGAATGAACAGAGTTCAGTTTTCACAGATAATGCACTCACATATGCCGTTTTTCCAGGCATATTTGCATCACACGCGACGTAAATCAGCCCCACGGCGTTTGATTAATTAAATCTGAGAACCCTGGCACCAGGTGAAGGTGCTTTGCCCCTGGGACCCGGTGGACAGCAGACTGGGTCTTACGCATGATTGAACTTCAGAGACTGGACGGATTTAGATGAAATTTGGTAAGGACGTTGTGCGAAAGGGCACGAACACACGATCGTAATTTTGCATCGTGGTGGGTCTACGGGTGAGGCGTTCGGAGGGGTGGGCGAAGTACAGTTTGTGAGACTTGGGTCAAAAGACCTTTGCTGGGGAGAGTAATAAGTTTTTTAAGGTGGTGTGGGATGAGATATATGAGGTGAGGTTAGGTTATTTTACGTAAGTGTGGTAAGGATGGGGTGTGGTCAGAAAAAGTTGAGGGCAAAGTTCAAAATACTGACGTTTTGGGCGCGAAGCCATTCAGGGGGCACTCGCCACATTAATTAATTTCAAATGCGGGCGCGTAAAAATATGTGTATTCTGGGACAGATCACAATTTCAAGCCTTGTTTTTTTTCATACGTTGGTAGCACGTATTTGCGACAGTCTTTTTTTTTACTGCTGAGAAGCGGTTACAAGTTATAAAATATACGATTTCAAACACTTTTTTTAAAATTTTAAATGTAGGTAAGTCCTGTGAAAACGTGACAAAGATTAACTAAACTATTATGTTCAAGGTGCGTTAAAATCAAGGGTCATTGGATCGATCAGAGGGGCACGGGGACCGCGCGTGAGGATGAATTTACTGTCCAACTATAAACATCATCCGCATTGAATTTTCCCACGTCTGCCCAATTTATAACGTTTTATCCATCCTTAATCATCATCGTTAAACTACACAGCGAAATAATCTATAAACTGCGTCGTAGCTCTGAGTACAAAAAAAAATATGCAACACG